ACCACCACCACCACCACCACCACCACCACCACCACCACCACCACCACCACCACCACCACCACCACCACCACCAACCACCACCACCACCAGCACCACCACCACCAGCACCACCACCACCACCACCACCACCACCACCACCACCACCACCACCACCACCTCCACCCCCACCACCACCACCACCACCACCACCACCACCACCACCACCACCACCACCACCACCACCACCACCACCACCACCACCACCACCACCACCACCACCACTACCATCACCAGTACCATCCATCACAATCATGATCACCACAGCCATCTTCATCACCATCAGCAGCATCATCAGCATCATCATCAACATGATCATCATGACAATTATCATCATCATCATCACCACCACCATCACCACCATCATCATCAGCATCATCCTCATAATAATCATCATAACCATCATCACAATCACCATCACTAACACTATCATCGGCATCATCATCCTCATCATCGTCACACGCAAAACGTGACGAATGTTCGATACTCCGAGGAGAGGAAGGTACGCTGGCGAGGCTTGAATAATGAGGACGAGAAGGGGGAGGGCTGTCCTCTCCTCCCCCTCCTGACGTCAATCCTCTGACTCCTCCTCATTCAGCCCTCCTCATTTTATAATTATCCCCCTCGTTACTCCCCCTTGTGCCCTCCGTGATCCTCCCTCCCTCCTCCCGCCTCCCGCCCTCCTTCCTCTCCTTCCCCTCGCTGGGTTGGATGGGGGGAAAGGGCCACTTGCTCCCCAGCAGGGCGGGGGAGAACAAGTGAAACGGATAGTAGGACAGGGCTGATGATGATGATGATGATAATGATGATGATGATGATGATGATGATGATGATGATGATGAGGATGATGCTGATGCTGATGCTGCTGCTGCTGCTGATGATGATGATGATGATGATGATGATGATGATGATGATGATGATGATGATGATGATGATGATGGCGGTGGTGGTGATGGTGGTGGTGGTGATGAGGATAATGAGGAGGAGGATGATGAAGGAGTGGGAGGAGGAGGAGAAGGAGAATGAGGAGGAGGAGGAAGACGACCGAGATAAGGAGGAGGCGCAAGCTCGCGCGGGAGAGCTCCGGGCAGCGGCAACACCCCGGGCCCCGTCCTTGCGGTGCAGTGTCCTGATGCCCGGGTGCGCGTCCTGTGCCGCGAGGGGGCGGTGGCACTGTCTTGGCCGCCGCAAGCGCGCTGCCAAGAGCTTGTCTCGAGGAGGCGGCCCGCAAGCATCGATTGACATGACCGTGCCGATCGTTCGTTCTTCCAGCGGCCGAGTGGCGTCAGCACAGCGAGAGCTAGATTGAGCTGCGAAGGGGGCCTCTACAGACTGGGCCCACGAGCCAGGAAGGACGACGCAGCACAATTCGCACACCAATACTTGAGTCCCTCACACATCGACGAACAACTCCTCGACCACACACATACCCACCCCCGCTGAGAAACGACAGGATACTGCTTGAATCAGATCAAACCACCCGGCTGGAATGACGAGCGAAACAACATGTTACCCCATACCACTCAAATAGCGAACAACCTCAGGAACACTCCGTGGATACTGCGGTACGAGTGCGGGGCCCCAGGGGCCCGCCTGGGCGCCCTCCTGCGGCCTCCAAGATCGCCGCAGCACAGCCCGAACATTTCTCCGAGATTCAACAAGCCCCACGAGGGCCCCAAGAGGGAGAACGCGAAGGTGCCTTCGAACCCTGCATCCCACGGCGGCCCCACGATTCGCCGCGGAGGCACTTGGAACGCCTCCGAAAGGCCTCGAAAAGCCTCCAGCGAACCTCCAAGAGGCCGCCAAGACGCCCCACCAGACCCCCCCAACTCCGCGAGAGGTCCCAGGAAACCGCCCCCCCAAAAACGCCCAAAGCTCCTCCAACATACCTCAATGAACGCCCATGAGGCCTCTCGAGGAAGAGTCTCCTAAAACCGAGCGTCGATTGATAAAATTTGGAAGAACAATTCACGAAAGATGAACAACAACGACGACGACAACAAGAATCAATGGCGAACTCTCTCGGAGAACACGGCCACCCCTTCCCTTTCGGATCATCTCTGGGCGGATCTGGCACTTCTTCGGCAGAGGAGGCAGACCAACAGAGGTCGGGAGAGGTCGGGGGCGTAGGAGGCTCAGACCTCGGGGACCTTCTGACCCGGGTCAATCAAAGGATTGCAAAAAAAACCGAAGGATTGCAAAACCGAAGGATTGCAAAAAACGAAGGTTTTTGTTTGCAATCCTTCGGTTTTTTTGCAATCCTTCGAAAAAGGGTTTTCTTGCAATCATTAGTTTTTTGCAATCCTTCGACCCAGGTCAGCAGGAAACCCCAAACCTACAAAACAACTGCAATGCAGGCCTTCGCAAACCCGGGTCAGCCAATACGCGCGGCCGCCTCGCGGCCACGAGCGGCTCGCTGACCCGGGTCAGCCAGAGGGGGTCTTCGCAGGATCCTGCAGGATCCGGTGCCCTGGCTGACCCCCGTCTGCATTGACCCCCGTCTCGAAGCTCCCGAAGACCTAGTGGAGCCAGTCCGCCGGCGACGGCGGCTCTCTGGCGCGCAGGTGAGCGAACGACGACGGATGACGGAAGGAACGCATCCAGACTGGACGACTTCGAGGAATGACGAGCGGCGCGCCCCCAGGTCAAGCGGTGGTCGAGACAAATGCTGGACCTGGACGACTTGCCCACTGCAGCCGCGCGGCGGACGAGCGGCGGGAGAACCTTGCGTGACTGACTTGCCTGCAGCCGACTAAATCCCCCTCACAATGAGCTGCACACTGGCCGAAGACCAGACGGCGTGGCGAGTGCGTGGCTGCGCTAGGCGAGCGCGTGCAAGAACACAAGCACCTGATCGGGCGGGCTGGCGAACCGCGTGTGCAGCGTGCAAGCTCGTCATCGTCATCGTCATCGGTATCGTCATCATCTGCGCCATCATCATCAGCAGCATCATGACCATCACCACCATCAGCATCATCACCATCAACCTTAAATCAACATCACCACCAACATCACCACAACCATCATCCGAAGCATCATCATCAGCATCGTCATCATCATCATGACCAGAAAATCATCACCATCAACATCGTCATCATCGTCGTCGTCATCATCATCACCACCATCAACATTATCACCATCATCACCACCATCATCCTCGTCCGCATCCTCATCATCCTCATCGTTATCGTTATCGTCATCCTCCTTATCGCCACCGACGTCGTCGTCATCATCGTCATCATCATCATCCTGAGTATCATCCTCATCATCGCCGCCACCACCATCATCATCATTGTCACATCATCAGCATCACCATCAACATCATAATAATAATCATCATCAATATCAACATAATCATCATCATCGCCATTATCCCCAACATCACCACCACGTCGCTCCCAAGCCTGGAGGCACGATGTGTCACACGAGACGACCTCCCGTGCTCCCTCGAACAGCCGCCACCCAGAATGCTGGGCTGGCACGGTGGCGCGACTTGCTGCAGGTAGCTGGATAACACAAGCCTAAACCGATTTCCAAGTTCTGTGACTCCGCCCTAGTTCGACCTCATTCCCAAACCTCCAATCCAGCTTTTGTCCCAGCTTGCCGCACACTATGTTTCATAGTTCCTGGTGGGAAGGGGGGAGGAAAACGAAGAGGCGAGGGGGACGATCAGCAAAAGGAAGAAGCAATGCGGAGGACGGGACGATGGCAAGGCAAGGCATACATGAGCATGTACGAAGCAAAAGGGGGCAGAGACGAGCATGAAGAGCATGATAACATTGACGATGATCGGGCCCGGCGGCGAGCCGTGATCTGAACACCCCAACCTCCCTTGCGCGTGCACCATGACTGGTCTCGACATGCCAGCCCCCTGGCTGAAACGTGCAAGATCGGAGCTCAACATCTGTGAAGGGGAACTGGGACACACAAAGAAATACACACGAATAAAAATACCCCCCATATGTTCGCATGTTTTATGTTTGTTTTGTCTTCCCCCCGCTTCCTGTTTTTGTGTCTGTGTGTTTTTGTGTCCCCATTTTTGTGTCTGTGTGTTTTTCCTCTCCTGAATCTGGTCAAACGCATCCGACTACCACTTCGGGACCCCGGGGCCTCCTGCCCCCGAGTAATCCTCTATCTCCAGCCCTCCTCTGCTCCTCCCGATGCTCTTCTGCTTCCGCTCCACCTCCTGCTCCTCCTCCTCCTCCTCCTCCTCCTCCTCCTCCTCCTCCCCCTCTTGCTCCTCCTCCTCCTCCTCCTCCTCCTCCTCCTCCTCCTCCTCCTCCCCCTCTTGCTCCTCCTCCTCCTCCTCCTCCTCCTCCTCCTCCTATTCATCCTCCGCCCTCCCTCTCCATCGTTCGGCATGAGCCGTCCTCACGAGGCAATCGACCGCCGAGGCACGGAGCACTGGAAGCATTGCCCTGAGCGTGCCACGACTCGTCATGTCTGCCATCGCAGTCTGCCACCGAACTGATGACTCGCGCCCCAACCACAGACTTGCTGCACGAAACCGCTCGCTGCATTGATCCCCACCTCTGACATCCCCCGCGGACATGCAAATTGGCGCTCCGATTCCGCTTCTTGCAGCTGGGTCTCGCGCGCGGGCGCGCGAAGAAGACAGCAAACACGATTGGCTCCCGCATGCGGCCTGTTCGCTCATGCAACGGGAAGATGCCCGCACGACGGGTCATCGCGCTGCTTGGTTTAGACTGTGCGACGGCGCCAGTCGGTGCCACCTCCACAATGTTACTCCGACGCGCCCAGAATGTCTTCCGTGCGAGAGAACATATGGTGTGCAACTGTCGTACATATCGGGCAAGCTTGAACATTGCATGCACGTCACCACCACTTCAGTGTGAGCCAACGGCCTCGCTGACACGCGTGCAGGACATACGTGTGAGCTCATCAGTAGTAAACTTGTCAGGGACGCGCATGGACGCCTCTCAGCTTCACCCTGGTCTACACTGAGTGCTGGTCGTCGCCGCCACTCACTGCCCTGGGTCTCTGCGCCTGTTGGCAGTCGCAGCGAGACAGTGAAACAACACGTGTCCCTCCTCCACTCCCTGCCAGCACCCTCACTTCCCTCTCCCCTGCCGTTCCGCGTCTTCCCCATCTGACTACCTACCAGACCACCCCAACCCAACCCGAAGACCCGAATTTCGGGTTGGGGGGGGTAAGGGTTCCACATGTGTTTTTTCTATGTTTCCCGACCCCCCCCCACTGGAAATCGAGGGTAAATCTGAGCCTTCGGGTTGGGTTGGGGTGTCCCTCCTCCACTCCCTGCCAGCACCCTCACCTTCCCTTTCCCCTGCCGTCCCGCGCCTTCCCCACCTGCGCGAGACGCCCTGGCTGCGCCGGCGCGGGAGCGGCCGGGCATCGGCCACACGCAAGAGTGACCCCCTTGCCGTCGCTCGGACGTCCATTTCCCGTGCATTTTTCGGTTTCGTGCGTGTTTTTTTGTGCTCGATGGTCCAGGATGGTCCCCAAGGGTCCTCGCCGAGAAAAAAGTACACACGTCCGAGCGATGCCAGGCCCCAGGCAGGAGACACCTCTTGCGCGCAGCTTGCCAAGGCGTTGCCGCGCCGCGCCACGACTTGGCGGCCTGCGTGCTTGGGTGTCTGAAGAGGCCCCAGGACACAAATAAATACACACACACACATAAAACTATGCCCCACATTTTCCAATATTTTCTGGGTTTTTGTGTTCCCCCCCACTTCCCATATTTTCCCATATTTTCTGAGGAATCGACGATTCATTCTGTCTGTGTGTTTCTTTCCCTCCTGATGTTTGCCCTACCCCCGCGCCCCCGAAAGCCGCTCACCAAAGGCCACCCCTGCGAAGGGTCACTCTTCCGTGCGGCCGAGGACAGGCGGCGATCCTGGCCTCGCCGTCTCCGGCGGAGAAGCTCACGTCCACATCTCCGAGCTGCGGGCGTTCGGGGTCCAGGAGCGTGCAGGGGCCCGGCGCCAGCCACGAGTGTGGAGCAAGAGAACCACGCCACGGCTGCCACTGAGCTTAGGCTCTGGCGTCATGTCGCCGCCGTCATTGCCAAACCCTCCAACAACCGTCACTGTCGCCAGCATTGTTTTTTTGCTCCGCTGTCAACACTCGCGCCCAAGCTGCCGTCGTCGCAATCGTCGCCATCGTCACAACGGCTGCATGTGTTGATTACCAAACCCATGCTGATCGAATGTCGTCGTATCGCCGGCAAGCGGTCAAGGTGACACTGACTCAGACGGCCAACACCAGTCGCACGGCGTATATCCGCAATGCCGTAGGTTTAAATGTGCAAGGAAACATGTCCCTCGCACGACAACTGCCACCGACTCTGGCCTGCTGAAGACAAGGGCTAGCCTGGTAAGACGTGCCGTATAAATTGGGAAGAATATCCTCAAGTGTGTAAGAGCTCCCGATGATCAAATTGAATCGAAGATGTAAGCGCTCTTGACGGGGCCCAACGCCCGGAGATCCAGGCACCTCCGGACCTTCATGGGCGTTCTCTGGTCCGCCCGACTTCCCCAAAGGTCAACTGGCCATCGCTCGGACACACTCCCGTGCATTTTGCCCAATCTGCTCCTAGGTGGCCCCCGCCGAGGAAAAATTCACACGTCCGAGCGATGCCAAGTCAAACGTCATTGAAACACATGGAAACACGCCGCATCTCCCAATGTGGTTGGCCCGCGAGGTGGAAACCCGAACTGGCCTCGGGAGCGGCACGGTGGCGGGATGGGCCGGAGACCGCCTCCTCCTCGTCCGCCCCCTCGTCCTCTTCATCCTCGTCCTCGTCCTCGTCCTCCTCCTCCTCCTCCTCCTCCTCCTCGGCCTCCTCCTCCGCCTTCTTATCCTCCTCCTCCTCCTCCTCCTCCTCCTTGTCCTCCGCCTCCTCCTCCTCGTCCTCCACCTCCGCGTCCATCTCCTCCCTCTCCTGCTCCCTCCCCTTTTCCTCTCCTTCGTGCTCCCCCGAGAGATTCCACAACGGCGGGGGAGCCGCATCCAAGAGATGGGCTGGCCCAACGTTTAGCCAGATCGCCTTGCCCCGGCAGGCAGGGGGGCGGCGGTGACTCGCCGCACGCGCCTTAGAGGCCGTCCTGACTTCCCCAGCATCGCTGGTGCCACCTGGGACCAGGAACACCTTTGGCAACACCGTTTCCCCTCCTTCCTTGAAGGGGCCCTGGGACACACAAATAACTACACACAAATAAACATATTCCCCATAGTTTCACATATTTTATTTGTTTTTGTCTTCACCACCACTTCCCATATTTTCTTACATTTTCTTAGAAATCGACGATGAATTGTGTCTGTGTGTTTTTTCCCTCCTCCCTCCTGCTCTTCTATCATCCTCCCGCACTCCAGCACCCCCAGAGGAAGGAGCAATTACACAAACCACAGATATTCGGTGGTCCGAGCGGACTCCTGGGATCTGCGACGAATGCCCCTCCGTGGCGGGAGGAATGCGCCAGTGGGCCACAGCGCACCTCCGAGGATTCCACGCGGATCTTCGAAAACGCATGTTCCTGTAATCTCGAACTGTTCGAACCCCTCTCCAGCACCCCTCTCCAACACCCCTCTCCGTCTCCGTCTCCGCCTCCCTTGCCATCGCTCGGACGTCCATTCCCTGTGCATTTTTCGGTTTCGTGCGTGTTTTTTTTGTTGCTCGATGGTCCAGGATGGTCCCCGATGGTTCTCGCCGAGAAAAAATGCACATGTCCGAGCGATGCCAGGACTCCATCTCCCGCTCTGGAACTGGCTCGGGGCCGACGCTGCCCGATCAGCCCGCTCTCGCCCTCCCCCTCCTTCCTCCTCCTTCTCCTCCTTTCTGCTCGGCAATTCTGCTCCTCCTCCTCCTCCTCCTCCTCCGCCTCTAGCTTCCCCTCTCCTCCTGCTCCGTCATCGTCCTCCTTCCTCCTCCCTCCTCCCTCCTCCTGCCTTTTCCTCCGACGACGCCGAGAACGGTCTCCTGCGACGACGAGGGCGATGACCGGGGACACGACGCCGACGAGGACTAAGCTGAGGACGACAACGACGACGAGGGCGACGACGACGACGACCACGACGACAGTGGCGGCGACAGCGACGGCGACAGTGACGACGACAGTGACGACGACGACGACGGCGACAGCGACGACCACGATCACGACCACGACGACGACGACGACGACGACCACGACGACGACGACCACGACGACGACGACGACGACGACGACAGGACGAGGACGAGGACGAGGACGAGGAGGACGAGGAGGAGGAGGACGACGAGCACGAGGACGAGGACGAGGACGACGAGGACGACAAGGACGCGGACGACGACGAGGCGGACGACCAGCGAGCGGCGAGCGGCCGGCGGCGGCGGCGGCGGGGCGGCCAGCTCGCGCTGCAGTCTGGTCACCACCTCGCCCCTGGCCTCCTCGGGCCGCGCGGCGCAGGGGCCCTCGAGCGCCGCACGCGCGGCCGCGCGGGCGGGGCGGAGGGGGGGGGGGGAAGTGATGCCAAGTTTTGGCGAGCACGTCGTGCAGAGAGGAGGAGGAGGAGGAGGAGGAGGAGGAGGAGGAGGAGGAGGAGAGGAGGAGGAGGAGGAGGAGGAGGAGGAGGAGGAGGGGGAGGAGGAGGAGGAGGAGGAGGAGGAGGAGGAGGGGAGGAGGAGGAGGAGGAGGAGGAGGAGGAGGCAAAGAGGGGGCCTGTCGAGGCCAGCTGGGACCGCTCGGGGGGGGGGGGGGCTGGCCTGGCCAGCCAGGAATCGACATCGCATCGGAGCGGGGCGGGCCGAGGCGCGCCCCCGCGCGGCGGCCTTGCAAACTGCGGAGGGGGCGGGGGAACAACAGGAAAGGCGCAGCCGGGATCCCCGCGCGCAGTCCGGTGGTGGGACGCAGGCATGGCGGGGTACCGCGAGCTCTCGTCTGCGCTGCCTCCTACCCCTCCAGACCTGTGGGAGGGGGAGGGCAGCGGGGAAGGAGGGAGCGCGCCCCCCCGGGCCCAAAAGGCTCCCGCCCCACGGGAGAAGGGCGAGGGCCCCGCCAGGGAGGGCGGACGGGGGGCGGGGAGGCAGGGAGCACCCCGGAAGGAACCGTGCACGCCGAGGGCGAGGGGGCGCGACTGCGCCCACCCTGGCCCCCTCGCGATTCGAGGCGCGCTGTGTTCGAGCGCTGTCGTGGATTCCTTGCCGCTTCCGCGCCTCGGGATGCTCTCCACGCGGCGCCTCGGCGTTCTGGGGGTGCCCGGATCGTCCCGAGCGGCCGCCAGAGACCCGAGCGATGGCCCGGAAGCCTAACCACACCGAGCCCCAGAAGGCATCAGCGGGGGAGTTCCCCTGTCCTGTAAATGGTGGTCTTTTCTTGCGCTCCGACGTGCGTTCGACGCGGTTTCGACAAAGGCGACATGGACTTGACGCGGACTCGCCACTGATAGCGGGCGCGATGGGACAGACGAGGTCTCCTGAAGATCCAGCCGCATCCTTAGATCTACCCAATTATCGGCGGTGGACAGACGTCCCTTTAACCGAATACCTTCGAGAATAAACACTAGGGGATAATAAAGTTCGGGGTTCAGGGGGAGATAATCAAAGTAGCCCACCAGACCTCAGCATAATCTCGAAGTAAGAGATGATCAAGAGGAGACCAAGCCGAGCACGTTTTGAGACATCCTTGGCGTTCAGTCTTCATAGAAATATCCTCAACAATGGCTTATCTCGCTGGAGACATCCTCGGCAAATCCCTCGATAATAAATGAAAAGGATAAAGAGAAGAGGAAAGGAGGATAAAACAACACACCTGAAGATTCAAATGTATTAAATTTTATTTACAAGCGCTTTATGAACATTAAAATTTGTAAGTGCTCGTGTAGGGTAGCTCACGTGCCTCGTTTTCCCTGGATAATCAACCCCAGCGATAAACAAGTTCAGGGCGCCAGGGGGAAGAGGAGGAGAAAGATATAGAGAGACAGAGAGAGAGAGAGAGACAGAGAGGCCAGGAAGGAGAAAGAGATAGAGAGACAAAGAGAGAGAGAGAGAGAGAAAGAGAGACAGAGAAAGAAAGAAAGACAGACAGAAATAACTACAAAGGACATTGGTTTCGCTTGAGACATCCTGAAACAACGTGTTCGCTTCGCTTGATGTTGTTATCTCAACATAAGAAGGAAGTAACTTCGATGGCGAACTTTTCCCGTGATAATGAAGTTCGGCCTCCGCGCCCCCGCGCCCCCGACCAAACTCTTATTGGTCGACGATAAAAAACTCTAACGACTTAAGGGGGGGGATACTTTATTCTCATCGGCATGCGGTTAGTAAACCACCCTTTCGTGAAAACGGCCTGGGACCAAAAACGACGGACCTGGAGCCGCAAAAATGACGGCCGCGACGCCGTCTCGCGAACCGAAAACGGCCAATTCGCTAATCGACGCGTCAGGGTAGGAGGTCTATCAGCCTCCGACAATGAAGACCGAATGTTTCTACAATTCTCGGTCCCTGGGGGCCCGTTCGCCGGGCCCCGGGGCCGCAAGAAAAACTGCTCAGGATGACAAGTGGGCCCCGGAGAGATTCCAGCCCTCCGAGGGTCCCAGGCTGTGAGAAAAAACGCGGCGTAAAACGCGGCGTCGGCGGTCTGGGCGCACAAGTACTGTGGTCACCGATCTACCACAGGGGCGGCCGAGTAAGGGACGAGCGGGGCCTGCCTGGTCACGACGGCCATAAAGAGTGTCGCCATTCCACCACGGGGGCGGCCGAGCACGGAACGAGCGGGGCCTTTCTGGCCACTGTGGGCCTCACAGGCTCCGCTCGAAGCCTAGATGCGATGGGGGGGGTGGCCCGAAGACCAGAGTCCCTTCTGAACCACGTGGACGGCATGCCAGCGTCTTGACTGTATGCCCCCCTTGCTCTCGAGGCCACCCTGCGGTCAGAGAGGGTGCGTTTCACGGGCGCTCGCCTTGGGAGCATTCGGCGGCGTGTTTCGAATCGTGGGGTAGGCCCCCCCCAACACTCGGCGCCGTCGATCAGAACCAGGGGGAGTCCCCTCCCCCTAACCCCCCCCCCTCCCGACCCTCCCCCCTCCTCGGCGCCGGCGCCGGCGCTGGCGCTGGCGGCCGCCAGCAGCGCCGACGGCGGGGACGCAGCGACGATGACCAGAGGCAGCCTAAAAGGGGGGGGTGGTTCCACCCCCCCCCCCCGCGCCGGCGCCAGCGCTGGCGCTGGCAGCGACCAGCAGCGCCGACAGCGGGGACGCAGCGACGATTACCACCACCAGCTCCACCACCACCACCACTACCACCACTACTTCAACCCACCACCACCACCACCAACCCACTACACATCCACCACCGCCACCACCACCACCACAACCACCACCACCACAACGCACCACCACCACCACCGCAAAAACCCACCACCACTACAACCACCACCGCAATCTACCACACCACCACCACCACTGCCACAACCTCCACCACTACCAGCAGCACAATTCACCACCACCACCACAAACCACCACACCACCACCACCACCACCGCCACCACCACCACCAGCACCACTGCCCTGCAAGCGGATAGCGTGTCGCTCTGCTCCGCCGGATGTTTTTTTTTTCAGCAACGCTCAGGGCGTTGCTGTCTGGGGACCTGGCCGCGGACAGCCCAGAACTGGCGGCGCGACACGCTAGGCAAACGTGCCTGATCTGATCCGCAGCACGACCCTGACATCCCCAGATCGCTCTCGGCAAGGCGCAGCTGCTGGAAAGCATCTCGAGGCTGGAAAGCGGCCGCGAGCCGACGAGAGCTGAAGGCCATCCGATCGACCACCACCATACCGCACCAGGCGCTGAGCGGAAAGAGGGCGCGGGTCTCCGCACCGGGCGCTGAGCGGAAGGAGGGCGTTCGGCGGCGGCCGCAGTCATAGTCGTCGTCGCCTTGGAGTCCCGAAACGGTGCGGTGGCAGACCGTGCGGTGACCTCGAAACCCCCCGAGACCTCACCGCACGGTCCGCCACCGCACGGTCTTGGGACCCTGGAGGCCCCAATCGCCCGAGACGTCCTCGGAGAACGACCCGAGTCCCAAAACCGTGCGGTGACCCCGAATCCCCACCGACTCACCGCACGGTGTGTTGGGCGCCCGAGTTATCCGAGGTAACTCGGGTCTGGGGTAACTCGATCTGACCCGAATTACCCCTGATGATTTGGGGCTCTGGACGCCCGAATTATCCGGGGTAACTCGGGCTCGGAATCCCGAAACACGAACCCGAGGTATCCCTGACCCGAGTTACCCCTGATGATTCGGGGCTCTGAGCATGGTCACCACTCCGTTTGGGGGCCCCCGATCGTCGTCGTCGACGCCCTCCCACCCGGGGCGCGGGTCTCCGCGGCGTCGCCCCTCCGCTCCACGCGCGCCTCGGGCAGCCGCGCCCTCTCCGAGTTGCCCTGGCCCCCGCCGCGCCTGGCGGGGCCCGCCCGCAGCCGCCGCTGCCGCCGACGCTGCCGTCGGGCCGCCGGCGTCGCGCGCGTCCCTCGTCCCTTCCCTCGCCCACCCTCCTCGCCCCTCCCTCCTCCACAGTTGCTCAATATGAATACTACTCTCCCTCTTCCCCTGATGGCGTGCTGGGAGTGGCCGACCCCCCCCCGCGTGCTGCTTTTTACACACAGGATCCCCGGGAGTTGGGTCTTCGCCTGCGTTTTTTTTTTTTTTGTTGTTGTTTTTTTTTTGTTGTCAAAATGCTGGCCTTCACCGGCGTCGCCGCCCTTCGCGCCCGCCTGGGCCCGTCGGCGCCGTCGCCGTCGCCACAGCCAGCGCCGTCGCGGACGCGCGCGCTCTGGGAGCGCGCGGGCTGCTCACCGAGCGTGCTCGTCGCAACTCTGCTGCCGGTCGCGGTCGTGTCAGCCGCGGTGGCGGCGTTGGTCTCGCTCGCGCCGTGGGAGTCGGGACTGGTGCTGCTCACCGACGCGCTCGTCGGAGTGAAGCAGCCCGATGCGCTGGAGTCGCTTTGCTGAGACGTCTGCGAACTGTGATTTCACCACCTCCTCGTCACACTCCGCTCCTCCCCTTCGCCTCCCCCTCCTCCTCCTCCTCCTCCTCCTCCTCCTCCTCCTCCTCCGCTCCTCCTCCTCCTCCTCCTCCTCCTCCTCCTCCTCCCTCTCCTCCTCTCTCTACCTTCTCCCCTCCTCCTCCTTCCTCCCCTCCTCCTTCCTCCTCCTCCTCCTCCTCCTCCTCCTCCTCCTCCTCCTCCTCCTCCTCCTCCTCCTCCTCCTCTCCCACCGCTCTGCGTCCTTCTCGTGCTGCTCCTTCATCGTCGTCCTACTGTTCCCCTTGACCCCCCTCCCTTCCACCTCCTCTCTGTTCCTCATTATCTTTCCATCTTCTCCTCTCCCGTCGTTGTCAACGCGCCGTCGCCCTCTTCGCCACCACCGCCGCCAACGCCGACCCTCTCGACGTCGTCGCCGCCGCCGTCGCTGTTGCAAGCGCCGTCTTCGCTGTCGACGTGGTCGTCACCGATTTGGCAAGATGAAAACGGGTCCTGGAACTTGGAGCCTTCCCCCCGGGACGAGCTCTTCATCCTGAACAGGTTTTGGGGCCTGTGGAGGGGCCCTGGATCCCAAAAGCGGCCACACACCTCGGGGCCCGCTCCTCTCGGGACCCGCTCGCTTTTTCCACTCGCAGCGCCTCCGAGGCGATAGCTCCGACGTGCCCCCACAACGCGTGGCTGCAGCCGAGAAGGCGCATCCGTGCAGTGGCCGAGGCCCTGCATCGCCCGAGCTCGCGAAGAGGGCAAATCGGCCCAAACGAACCCGCGGAAGAGGCGCATGAAAAGCCCAAGGGCGCCGAAAAAAAGCCCAAGGGCGCCGAAAAAAGCCCAAGGGCGCATGAAAAAAGCCCAAGGGTGCCGAAAAAAAACTCAAGGGCGCCGAAAAAAGCCCAAGGGCGCCGACCAAAACAAACCAAAGGGCGCCGAAAAAAAGCCCAAGGGGGCTGAAACAAACCCAGGGGAGCCGGAACCCAACGTGCAGACGTAATTGGGTTGTTGTTGGCCGGCTGGAAAGCCACGGCGAATAGAAGCGCTTCGCGCTTACGCGCTCATCATGGGGATCCGCTGCCGCGAGGCAGAGGGAGCCGTCGCCGAAGCGCTGCCGCGTGACGTTGCCGTCGCCGCCGTCGTCGCCGAGCGCCCGCGAAGGCCAGAGGGCGCTGCTGGGGGGCGAGCCGGCGCGAGGGGGGCACTTCGGGGTCAGAGCCGAGGCCGCGGGGCTCGACGGTGTGGGGGGGCATGCCCTCGGATTACTTGGGGGCTCCGGGAGGCCAAACCAGGCCTGCGTGCGTAACGTGGGAGTGTAGGGTCGTTGGGCTCGCGCAAGGAGTGTACGCTGGCATCCTATATATGGTCCAGGGTTTGGGCCCCCCCCCCCCCACTGCTGATGCCATTGCCCCCCCCCCCCGCGCGATGGTCCCCCCCGCCCCCCCCTGTGGGCGTGGCGTGGTGCTGCGCTGCGGTTCCCCCCCCCCCTGTGGATGTGGTGTGGTGCTGTGGTGGTTCAGAGGTGGGCGTGGCGTGGTGTTGCACTGCGGTGCCCCCCTCCCCCCCCCCTGTGGATGTGGTGTGGTGCTGTGGTGGTTCAGAGGTCGTCGTCGTCGTCGTCGTCGTCGTCGTCGTCGTCGTCCTCGTCGTCCTCGTCGTCGTCGTCGTCGTCGTCGTCGTCGTCGTCGTCGTCATCGTCGTCGTCGTCATCGTCGTCGTCGCCGTCGTCATCGTCGTCATCGTCGTCGTCGCCGCCGCCGGCGTCGTCGCCGCCGCAGCCGTCGTTCGTCGTCGTCGTCGTCGTCGTCGTCGTCGTCGTCGTCGTCGCGTCGTCGTCGTCCGTCGTCGCCGTCGTCGCCGTCGTCGTCGTCGTCGTCGTCGTCGTCGTCGTCGTCGTCGTCGTCGTCTCTGGGACCATACCATCTGGGGGGGGGGGGGGGCTCGTGGGCCCTCGACCCTGGATCATATATGCTCGTGCGCCGAGCATGCCCCGAACGAATGATGGTTTTGGGTGTGGTCGTTTTGGGCACGCCTGAACAACTTTTGGGGTGGTGGCGTCTGTAGAACAATCAAACTAAACCCAACGGTGGGGCGACGCGAGGCGGCGGCGGGTCCGATCCTGGCGGCCAGTGAGGAGGGGCGGGGGATAAAGACCGCAAGGCACTAGAAGAGCACGTCTCCGATCGGGCGTCGACCGCGCCTCGCGCACGCCCGCCCCACTTCACGAACGGCGAACAGATCTATTTCAATGCCCTCGCGGTCTGGAATTCTGGGGCGCGATCACGAGGATACGCGGTCGCACGGATATGTTCCGCGCGGGGCGTCCGCGAAAGATGTCCCGTATCCGTGGGTCGCGGCCCAAAGGCCTGGCCCGCGAGGCCGCTGACACGGATATGATATGTTCGTGCCGTGCCAACTTCGGCGTTGGTTCTTGACACCGCGGGGATCGTTCTAGCTTGAACGATCGGCCGTTTCCGAAACGTCAGATCGTTCAACGTCGACCGATTCTGGACGCCGGCAACGGTCGACACGACGCGAACCTACAACCTACCGTATGTCTTCTGCCCACGACCGCTCCTGGGAAGGGCGAGCGAGCAAACGTCAGGGTCGTCCGCGCTCCTCGGGGACGCCCGCCCGTACCCATCAGGGCGTGGCGTGGAACCCCGGGCTCCAGAAATGTGAAACGAAGGCGGGCTCACGTCGAAACCGCCAACCCTCTGCGGCAACTCATGGGAGCCTCCCATGCTATCTTGTAAACTTTTGCACATCGACGCTAATCGACGCTAGTCGAGGCTAGTCGACGCTAGATCTGCGCTATGCCATCGATTACCAGACGTCGGTCGACATAATGCACTCTAAAGAAGAAGCTACGTGGGTACACAAAGCTCCAATAATTTACCCCCGAACCATTATGTGCTCCCAGCGGCTGGTAACCCTCGCGAGTCGTTTGTGCTGCTGTACTCGTGTTGTCGTTGTTCGGTCGCTACCCGAATCTGGTCCTGCCCAGACTCGGCGTCGCAGCAGTGCCCGTCCAAGCTGTGGAGAAACTTCTGGACATCGTCGTCCCCTTATTTGGGTTGCCCTCCCTATTGCCGGCGTTCTTGTTTTCGAGCATTGAGATTTGGTTCCAGGTGCTGGGACGAGAAGGACAAGGGGGATGCGCGGGGGGCGGCGGGAGGAGGGCTAGAAACGTGCGGCGCGCTCCAGACTCCTTAGGGGGGGCTCCTCCCAGGGGCCCGTTGCCGCCTGGGCCAATCCCCCCCCCTCTCGTCCCCTCCCTTGGCTCGCTCGTCCCTTCCCCTCCGGGCCAATCGCTTCCCCTGGCTCGCGCGCCCCAGTCCTCCCCCCCATCCTCGTCCCCTCCCCCTTCTGGGCCAGTCTTCCCCTGGTTCGCTGCTCCGGCGAGCCCTGGCCATCGCTCGGACGTCCATTCCCTGTGTTCTTGTCGGTTCCGTGCGTGGTTTTTTCGCCAAATCATCAAGGATGCTCCTCGATGGTCCTCGCCGAAGGAAAAAAAATGCACACGCCCGAGCGATGCCAAGAGCCAGGCCCGGGGGGATCGGGCCGCTCGCGCGGCGGCGCGGCGGCGAGGCGGAGAGGCAGCGACGTCCTCGCCTGGCCCTCCTCCTCCTCCTCCTCCTCCTCCTCCTCCTCCTCCTAATTGGGTGCAACGAGCTCTCGCGGGCGCGTGTTCCTCGCTGCTGCTCCGAGTGTCTCTGGGGCTCGGAAAAACCTTTTTCCGGGTGTCGCGTGGCTGGTGGCGGAAGCGGCACTCGCGCAGCCCAGCCCGCCCCCCCAGAGTCTCGAGAGTACAGCCATCGTGCTGCCACATGGACTCGCCATCGCTCGGACGTCCATTCCCTGTGTTTTTTGTTCGGTTTCGTGCGTGGCTTTTCCGCCAAATGATCAAGGATGCTCCTCGATGGTCCTCGCCGAAGGAGACATGCACACGTCCGAGCGATGCCAAGTGGAACGCATCACACGGAACGAACGGGCTTGTTGGTCACGGCAGGCCTCGGCCGCTAACAGGTTCCGCGGCATAAATCCAAGGCACACCGCCGCTCAACGACGACCCTTTCGTCCCCTACTCCTGCCGAGAGGCCCAGGGTCACAGTCCATGCGCCTGAGTGACGTCGGGCGCCGTTTGCTCGTGGAGTGGCAAGGCGCGCTGGAGGTCTGCGAGGTCAGCGAGGGACGAGGTAGGGGGAGGCGGTGAGGATGAGACGACGATGCTGATGATGATACGGATGATGATGCTGATGATGAGGATGCTGTTGATGATGTTGATGATGGTGCTGATGATGATTAGGATGATGGGGATGAGGATGATGATGCACATGATGATGGTGATGATGGTGTTGGTGGTGATGATGGTGGTGGTTTTGATGATGGTGCTGATGCTGGTGCTGCTGACGATGCTGATGCTGAT